GATTCATCTAATTCCCTCCTTTTGCTTAGCTGTGTACAGTTCACCGCAATATATACAGCTTACTGTGGTATCTACCATCACCGACACAATCGAATAACAGGTCAGCCAACAGGCATTCGATCGTCGAGAAAATTTCCTGTCTAGCATATGACCTGTAAATTCCGAGACCACCATAGGTTCATGCCTACATTACACTCACAGCCATTGCGTGCATTTGCAGAAAACTCCATCCTCGTTGTTCTCGTCATAGATCGCGGGATGCATACACGAGACAGTTTTTACTAGGCGGTCCACTGATCGGGAAACACTACAATGCTGCCGTCGTCAGAGAACATGGTTCGAGTCAAACCTACAAGGTAAACAGGAACTACCGACTTTTTGGCAGATTTACAAAACTGAAGCACAAAAAATTATATAATTAATATTAATAAGAGGGAATACATGTACAGCAGCACCATTCATGAAAAGTTCGATTGGACGAGACTTCTCAGTGCTTCCGGGTCCGTGATGGTCTGGATTAGGTAAACGCCAATGGCGTGGCAGTCGTACTGCGCGATAAACGATGCCTGAAACACCTTTCGTTTTCGTGATGTTCAAACCTTTATGAATACATCCTGCTTAAGCTGTCCTTCCCGTTTGTTTAGTCGTCTTTGTTCTTGTTGCCGATTTCGTAGTTCGCTGTATATGAGCGCAACAAGGCTAGTTTATTTTTTTAGAGAATGAACTATTAACTTAAGCAATCTACTTCAGCTTCGAATTCACACACTTACATACTCTACATACTCTCGGGTCACTACTTCTTTTAGGCGCATTTCAACGCAAGTTTTGTAGCCCAAATGTGAAAAGCCATATTATGGCAACAGCGAAGCTGTTTGTCATTCAGCCGTACCACTATGAGCTCGTAGAATGGACATTCGGTTAAAGATGGCTGCTGATTTCCGCTTTTTCGCTGGTGTATTACACTTTTCTATATAAAAAAACGTTACTTATCTCTAACTTCAATGTTATGCACTCGTTAGATCTTCCAGACCATGACGTTATTGAATTCACGGTGTTAAGGCTGACTGACTACTGTGGGTGCAAAGGTTTTTTGTTGTTTGTGTTGTTTCCTCTTTTCGAACAAGAACGTAGACTGCTTTGGCACTACATTATAATTGCCATCGTCGTCATCTTTATTAAATTAATTTAATGATTACTTT